CTGTGCCTACAGTTACTTAGAAATTGTTAAAACTCATTGCTCGATACCCTCGTAGCGGAGCGTTTGATATATTTTTTATACTTGACGTCACCACTACGCCGAACTGCTGTGTACATCTCCCCAATCGTTCATGCTCTATAATAGGCGAGATACTTCGGTTGTCTTCCCTCCCTTTTACGTGTCCTTTGAACTTGGGGCATTGTTGTAGCAGATTGTCGGTCTGCGTCGACTGTCGGTTAACATACATGTATTTTCAAATCAGAAAATATTTAAGACACAGTAGCCTTTCGCTGCTTGTGAGTGCCGAAACAGTGGAACGTGACAGCTGTGAAAATGAAAACCTCATTCCGGTGTCTGCATGAAGCTGCCTCCGCTTACCAAGATTCCCTGCCATATAAAGTTTAGTATGCACTATCTACTTTTGTGATATAAGTAGCGTGATATAAAATATTGGTTGTCCATCTCACCATGAAACTGATAAAGGCGTTTAAGGTGACGTAGCCCCCTTTCGATTCGAAATGTTTAACACAGAAGTCTTATAATTATACACAACTATATTTACGCTGAGCGTTAGGTTGCATTTTATTTTTGTACTCCCGCACGTGCTTAGCTTGGGACCTCTTTTTGACTATCACATGGGCGCACAGCCGTTGTTCTGACTTAATGCCATTGCCCAAAAATCAACCTGTTTCCCTTTCTTGCACCTTCTCTCCCTCAGCAAATGACCTCTGCCGCCAACCTAGAAAAGACAGGTTTCCTCACCTGGCTGGACAAATACCAAGCACAACTTGTCGTCCTGGCCTCGCAGATCTGTTGGTCCGAGGCTGTGGAGAGCGCGCTTACCTCAATGAACGGTAAGCCGGCTGCATCCAAGGACAAATCTCCCATTGCCGCTTGTCTCAAGTCTGTGGAGACCATGCTGACAGTTCTGGCTGACACAGTCCTCTATGAACAGCCGCCGGTGCGTCGTCGTAAACTAGAACACCTCATCATCGAACATGTGCACCAGCGTGATGTACTGCGCTCCCTGATGGATGCCGGCGTCTGTTCCAACCGCGCCTTCGATTGGCTCAGCCAGATGCGCTTCTACTTCGACCCCAAACAGACCGACCCTCTGCGTCAGGTGTCAATTCAGATGGCCAATGCTAAATTCGCTTACGGTTTTGAGTACCTTGGCGTTATGGACCGATTGGTACAAACCCCGCTTACAGATCGCTGCTACCTCACTATGACACAGGCTTTGGAGGCGCGTCTGGGTGGATCACCGTTTGGTCCCGCGGGTACCGGTAAGACAGAGTCAGTGAAAGCTTTGGGCATGCAGCTTGGCCGTTTTGTGCTCGTATTCAACTGTGACGAAACATTCGACTTCCATGTAAGTTCATCCCCCTTACCTTAACTGGTCCCACCTTCTTCTATGGAGTCATTTGTTGACCGTCTCCTCGTGTTTATCCTTCAATTTCTAGGCCATGGGTCGCATCTTTGTCGGCCTGTGTCAGGTTGGCGCTTGGGGCTGCTTCGATGAGTTCAATCGTCTGGAAGAACGTATGCTATCCGCCGTGTCTCAACAAATCCAGGGAATCCAAGAAGCTCTGCGTGAATTGGCAATCGATAGCAAGTCAACCAAGGACGTCACTGTTGAATTGTTGGGCAAAAATGTATGTCATCTCCACCCCTCTCCCGTCAACTTTTACACCTCGGGTTACATTGTAAACATGTCATTATTTGTACTTGCTACTTTACAGGTCTCTGTCAACCCGGAGATGGCCATCTTTATCACCATGAACCCTGGATACGCCGGACGTTCCAACTTACCGGACAACTTGAAGAAACTCTTCCGATCCCTGGCAATGACACAACCCGACCGCCAGTTGATCGCCCAAGTCATGCTCTATTCGCAAGTACGTTTCATCGTTAACGTGCATTCTCCCCTTCCTCCACCACACACACACTTATTCTCGAACAGTCACGCTAAATTGCCTAGAATTCTTTCCCCTAACCACCCCCCCCCTTCGTCTTTTCGTTTCTTTCTCATTTAGGGCTTCCGTA